CTAAGGAATACGGGGAGGATGTGAACGAGTTGGCGATGTGAGCATATGCTACACTGTTTCGGGTTTGTATCCTGTTCATCGGCGTACAGACTCTGGTGTGGGATGAGTGTTTCCAAACAATCACATACCGGTCACACGAAGGGGAAAGAGAGATGGTCGAACAACTTTTCAATAAGAATACAGATCGTGTAAGCGTGGCTTATCGATCTTTTTGAATATGATATTCGGAGGTTGTAACATAATGTGTCAGAAAAGTTATCACAGGGATAACGGGCTTGTGGTGCACAGCATGCGTGAGAACCCACATGCGTGTGCTGTGGTCCAACAATTTGTCATTCCTTTTTACGAGTCAACGGGCTTCGCGTTTTGGGCAATATGTGATTCTCAGTATCCGCACGGATTAGATATTAAATAGAAGTGCAGCTTCTCAGTTTCGTGCTAATGGAATATTGCCTCATCAGTGAATACATTGGTATGAACGCTCATGGTTCCGCCTGAAACAAATTGGGCGGCGTAACCACATTTGCAACGGTGATCAATACTGCGACGGGAGAATAGGCTATGTGGCAGCGAGTAGTCTTTAGGCGGCATAGCTTTTTAAGACCCCGTTTTCAAAACGTCACATTTCATATTTGCAAAGCCTCAGTGTAAGAAATGTCTATTTTGCTAAGGTAGGTTGTTGGAAAGTAACTTTCGGTCGACAAGAACATTGCCAATAACCCTCTTGTCATTAGCTGGGACAACACTAAACACCTATTGTACACTCCTTGCTCAGGCCGGTTACGGCTGTCCAAGCGCCACCACAGTTCTACGGCAGTAGCCCGGTAATGAGGGATTGCTGTTTCGCTTTTGCACACCATCTCCGTTCCAACCAGCCCGACACACCGTATGTATCTATCGATCGGTGAACGTGCCTTGTGGCGTGCCGTAGGTTGATTCCAACTCAACCATCTGCGCCTGATCCAGTGTTTTCACGATGGACGACACTGGCAAGCACTCATGTACCCGCATGCATGCATACGGTCGTTCTACACCCGTGTGACCGGGTGAGACATTTTGTGATAGATCAGCATCTACTGTTGGACAGTTGGTAATCTAGTGCGCTCTACGTCGCCCAACGGAGTGACCTTTTGTCAAACACTAGCAGAGTAGAGGGAACAAACCTTTGGGACAGGCTGTACGCTTAGCCGAACAGCCATGGCACATCCAGGTGAGCGCTTTGCCGGATGTTTGGTGACTGCTTAGCTGAGACGATTCTTTTCGAAAAGCATAGGTCGCTTCTACGTCTCCCAAAACAATTGGCGTTCGTCAAGACTGTCAAGTGCTCCAGTCTTCAGCTAATCCGACCGCCATGGGACGGTCCTTTGTAGAAGCTTACCGATCAGTCACCGAGGAAATGGATGTAGAAGAACCGTTGGTCTGGAACACGCAGGCGTCGTTACGTTACAAACTTCATGCGGTGCAGCCGTTCACGTTACACAGGTATGGTCTTTGTATTTTTATAATGTAAACCGCCGCTGTTTTCTACCAATGACGAAGAAAAAGTTGTTGGCCATTCAACTTGGAGATATTAGTAATGACGACAATGATGATGATAGCACGATGTCATCTTCATGGACCAGAAACCATTTTCACTTATCCCAATAAATAAATAAAAAATGTTTATTCTCGACTAAGTGAGGCACGCCTGCACAGGCATGATCATGTTAAGAGTACAAAATGTGGTCAGTTAATGTACAATGGAACAATGGGATTATCGCATATGTTTGATATATTAATGTATGTAAGTGTGCAGGTGGGTGTTTCTATCTGTGTTTATGGAATTTGTAAGTGTTTTTCTATCCTTTTGATCGTGCTTGTACGTATCGCCAGTGTTAAATGGATGCTTGACGACTGTGGACTTGAAGCGGTTGTCCGGATAAGCAATGCGTGACTTTAGTTGGTAGCGAGTCACAACTGCCACGTCACATTGTTGTTAAACGGACATTGGTGGCTTTTTATAGGGAGAACGCTTGCCAGACGAAAACCCACGTCCTGGAACAAGACCGCCGAACTATTTGCTGGAAGAAGGTAAACCCGAACCCGAGCATGCTCCGAGGAGGTTGTTCGGATAGCAGGAGTTAGTTAATCTAAGCTCATTGTATTTCGATAGAGTCAAAAAACACTGGCGCACAACAAATAGGATACAAGGCACGAAGACTACCTCTAAGCGCTGAACTACGCGTCGGGTCATGGGCTGAGGGTGACACAGTAAAGCTATGAGGTGGTCAAATATCTCATAATATCAGACCGGTTTTCTGTGTTCACAACATGGAACCAAAGAAGGATTACAAAAATAATCACATGTGACAGAAAGCATTATAGTCTGTGGGGTTCGCAGATTTCGGGAGGCAAGCAGTGATCTGAGGAGAGTTCTGAAGGTGTTCCACGCTGTAAACGTGGCTCTGTAAATCGACTTCTAAGAGAAACCATTGCATCAGGAGGGTGTCAACACTCTTACTAGTTGAGAGGTTATGGTTAGCTTCCCTAGATTTTGTGGAATCCGCCAAGACAATGTCTGGAGAAGACAACAATAAACTAACGGATGAAAAGGAAGGATTCATGAGTAAAGTATCCTGGACATGTGGTTGCTCAGTGACAGTTGAACAGATGATGAAAAGATTTCCTGCTGAGGTTTCCAACAAGTCAGACTCCGTTTGAGTGCACGTACTTGAGTTAGTGAGAAAAAACACTCAGGGTGTATTACCGTTTACTAGACTGAATGCGAAAATGTAAGAAATAAAATGGTGTTAGGAAATAAGGGCGTAGCGTCGCCTCAATGAGGCAGCAGCTGTGCCAAAAATCGAACAAGGAATCGAGGATGGCAGCAATAAAAATGCACTAGTCCACTTTCAGCGAAAAAAACACTTTCAACTTCAAGGAAGCAATGTACAATGATCCCAACACGAAGAGTATTCCAGTGAGGTGTTCGACAGAAAAAGTTCGTAGATATAAGAAATATGAGTGGAGAAAAACGTCCTGCTAACAAAAAATATAAACTTTAATATTATTCTGATTTATCCTAGTTGTTCGCAAGCAAGATATGCAAACCACAATACGAAAGAGCAACAAACGAACGTTTCGCACCATTGGGGTCCAGGTGCAGATGGAGGTGATTACAGAGCGACACCTTTACGCACAGATTTAGAAGTCAGACTAACGAAAGTGTGGTTTGCGATCGTGGTAAATTGCATATCTGCGACCCCGATGAACTGCATACGAGTTATTGTGGGTGCGTCTGGTTTAGGACGGAAAAAAGCAAATTAATAAGCAACAGTATGGCTTTCCAATCGTGAAAGGTAACCGGAGGTGTTCCCTAACTAGCAGGCAGCCGAATGGAGCGAATTCCCCCGCATGGCGTTACGACATTAAGCCATGCCGGGAGTGTGTACGGGTTGCACGAGAGACGCGAGAAAAGCTGACCAAATATGGAACACATTCGTGATATGAGCGGCAGGAAACTCGCGTGCGCGTCGACTGTGTCAGAGAGGGCCGTACCCTGATGAAAATAACGGCTAATTACGGCAAACCAGTCACGTGGATCGCGTTCATATTGGTTAAGGCCAGGAAACCGAAGATGCGGATAATAGTTTACATAATTAGAATATATGGTTAGCCTAGAGACAGAAGCGCCCTTTCCACAGCATGCACACCGTCTACCGAGGCTTGACTTTTAGTTTCCACAGTTCGCTTAGAAGCCAAGTAGAGCAGACCATGGGCAGCAGTACCGAAGGAGAAGCAATACAACACGAACCGAGCTGAGGTTGTGGTTGATAAACTGTTGCCTTACATGGATAAGGTTGAAAGAAAGTGACCATCGACCTGTCGCCATCTTCTGAAGACGATACCAGGACTGAGCTCGTCAAATTCATTGATCCACCTATTAAAAGTTAACCTGAAGGCACTTGGAAATTATCGCAGAGCGTAGCTCGATGAAGTAGAGATGGCAATCCAACACCCCTGAACCACTGAGCACCGCAGCCAAGGCTTCTCACAAGAAAGATGTGGACAGAACGTATTGGTTTATTTTGTGGTATTAGCTGCGTGGATGGATTGAGACATGCATGGAATTGAATGCCGATCATTCTGGACTTTGAGCTTGTATCCCGAGTATAGTACTTTGCGCCTTCTTAGTCAACTGCTGGTTTGGAAACGCATCTGTCATTCGGCTACTGAGACACAGAGTTTGGATAGTTTAATCCCACTAAACGCACTTCCGCTTCCGGAAAGGTGCTTAATTCTATCACAAGAGACCAACGCCGTGATTCCCAAAATTTCAGCTTGTGGCACGTTTTAAGATGAAGTGTCATTTCTTACAAGTGCTCTAGTTTTGGTAACTGACAGGGTACGTGTCCGAATGCCAGTGACCCTGGAGGCATGATTTTGCGGTTGCTGGTTTAAATTTAAGGTGTATACCAAAGTAGTTCAGATCTCGAGATGGTAGTGCCGGCGCGTGTGATCACCTTATGTCACGTTCACTCGCGCGTACAACTCTCTTCGTTATGAGAAAAAGCTGCAGTGTTACAAAACACTTCCATCGAGCAGCAAACTCACAACAACTCTAATAAGGAGACGACTAACAAAGGTGGATGGATCCAAGGAATTTGTGTCATGGAAAACACGATGCAGCCTATTGAACCCAAGTAGACATCTACCATGCAACCAAGCAACAGGATTTGCATGACATCTGCAGTCGAAATATTGGCTGGAATCGATGACAAGATATTATGTCAGCACGAAGTACAGAACAACCCCCCCCAGCAAGTCCTCGATCTATGACGCAGGAGATGTCATCCCACTGGTCCTCGAACCAAGGTATACAGCAGGCCATTCGTTCGTTCGTTATGCAGGTCAGCCTGCTATTACGGTTCACAGTGTTGGAGATAGCAACTGATCGAAGTTGCATAAGAAATCGGTTGCAACACCTTGTCATCTATCGTTCAGGGGAGTGCGACTCCGGATCACGGTCTCGGTTCCGCGAAGCTACGTAGCCATTGGAATAGGCTTAAATTGAGACATATTGATGCAGAAGTATGACTAGTACGATAACCAGTGGGTTGGAAGGTGAAAGTGACGTCAACAAGATCTACAGAAGACTGGCATTTTGATGGATCCTATAGAGGCACAAGTTCTTCGAAAGGTGAAGCAACTCCAGGGTTACGCGAGAAATTAGAAAGATGAAACTGTATACGACGAAGGAGTTAAACAGAAACGTACCGCAGCAGCTTGTCCATGGTTTTCTTGCTGGGAGCGCTCTCTAGTGCTTCGCCTCCATCGCTCAGATGGGAGACTGAAAAATATATAAACCAAAGATAGATGCAGCTTTGATGAGCTAGATTATGTTGAAGCAAAGAAAGCGTAACTGGTATTTTTTCACAAAAAATGTGGCAAATGCCGTTATAAGGTGAAAGAAAGCAGTTCCGCAAACCTCAGCGATTAGCATATTCCAGATCAACTGTGATCGGAATATTGAAATGCGTCCGATACAATTGTCATGGTTAAAGTTGACGCGAATAGAATAACAACAATAACAATAAACGCCAAGTGAGAAAAATCTCAAAGACAGGATGAGGAAGGAAACAGTTATTTCGTCAGGTACAGTTATGAGGAGCAGTTGTCCTCAAGAAGTTCGTGCAAGTCGTGATCCAGATATCGTACTTTTGTGAATTCACGATCCAGACACACCCACACGCCACAGCACTGCGTGTGAATTGTCTTCTCACATACACGCCCACGATTACTGGGACATTTTACAATGCTTTTTCCCTGTATCCGCTTCTGTAGTCCATCTCGTCAGTCTCGATATAATATTGAGATTGTGCGGCCATGTAATCGCCATTCCGCCGGGTAGTAAAAGTGCTCTGCTGGATGCCAGTTTTCTCTTCTCTCTACTAGGGGATGGGTGCGCGAATGGCAAGCAGTACACAGCGCGAGTATGGACTAAACCATTTCTCAACTGATTACATCCCCAATGCAATCGCTTTAATCCGTTAGGCAGCCGCTTTCATCCGTAGCACATAAAATATAATGGGGTAAGCACCGAAATCGCATCCAGGGACGCATTGGGTGATCAACCACTATCAGTCAATAGCATTCGGGTAATATGCCAGCGTGGCTATTTAACCTACACCATTTCCCAGCAATTCGCATCTATAGTGCAGTCAAAATGAGCTTTAAGGGAGTCATGCCCCTAAGTAAGACTGCTCAACATGGTCCATAACGCATGCAAATTGCATCCTGTTTATGCATATGTACGTGAATCTGTAGCGTTCGTTTTGATTAACAGCAAATAGCTTTCGGATAGGTACACAGTACATTGCCAGAAAGACTGTTAAACTCAAGTAGGTGCAGAATGATTGTGATTTGGGAGACGTTTGGCATTCAGTGGTTACGGCAAAGCTAGGTCCACGCAAGGTAAGAGACACTGCGTGATCAAGCCCAAGTGGGCGGTAGTTGAGACATAACCATTAGGACCTCAGTCGTCCGCTCGTCTAGGTGCGCAGTGTCCGCACGTGATAGCATTACACAATGGGGGTGTGTTGGAACAGGTGCTAGTTCACGAGCTGATTAAAACTTGAAAAGCCTCGGACGTAAAGGTAAGGTGAAATCAGCACAGTTTCGGAGTCAAGACGAACGCATACACGGCAGTGAACATTTCCGGAACAGGAGGACACGACCGTGGTGTGATCGAGCTCATGGTGAATAGAGTCAAAACAGTCTCACAGGGGCCTTGAGCGAGCAAACGAGATGTCCGCTTGAAGCGAGGCACGGATGACCAGAGTGAACAATGTTGACCAGATACTCCGAAATGCTCTCTATAAGGGTAAGATCGGCTGCTTCATTTTGATGCCACTCAGGCAACTTCGACCGGAGAATCTCACACTCAGAGGTGCAGTGCAGGCTACCGAGTGAAGCTGTCAATTACTTAAGGAAAGGAACCACATCCAATGCAGCGTAATGTCATCAACCTAACGTCTTAAGTCGATTAAGAATCACATAGGGGAGAGGAGGAAGATAATCATATTTCAAGCATTTCGAAACTATACGAATCACACAAGTCATCATTCGTTCATTATACACGTTACCTAGAGGTAGGGCACACTTCAGCTATTGTGCCGAAATACATGAGAGAAAAATAGACGCAACAGAGGCATGATAAATGAGCAACCCGTAACGGATAGACATCGTTCAGGAGAGCCAGTAGCCCACTATAGTCAAGTGAAAAAGCTATATTATGCGTAGGAAATGATAGCGTGGTTAAAAGAGCAGGGACAAAATATTCACCACACAAACGCCACTGAGGTCGGCTCCTAGCCATCTCAACAAATGTAACCAGTCAAACGTTTCATCGTTTTCCGGGCCCCAACCAGAGAACAGAGAGGCTGCAACCGCGGCCAGCTTCGAACAAAGGGTCTTCTTATGGAGATAAGCAGAACAGCTCCCGAGCGGAATGATATATTCACCATGAGAGGGTAGGAGGATAAGGGAACCGATAGAAGTTTGAATGCAGGGTTGTAAATTCTTTTCAAATGAGATGTTACATTCAGCTATCTTAATTTCCTCCTCATTCTCATCATCTTCGTCATCAGCATTACATATTAGCAAAAGGTGAGAAACAACTCAACAGTTGTGCCGCAATACTTGAAGACATACGAAAAAAATATAATAGAATGCAGAAAAGCAACGCACTACTTATTAATAAGAGATCGTGGTTGGAAGATAAGCGGGATGGGGAGGGACAAAGAAACTCACAACACAAACGCCACTGAGGTCAGCTCCTAGCCATAACAACTAGTGTTTCCAACCATACGTGTTCATCGTCCGGGAGACATCAATCAACTCCAACATCGAGGTAAGGTATTTCATTTCCCTTTAACAACTCAACTCTTGGCCAGCCCCTCTATTCTTCCATCCACAACCCCGGCGCGCAAACAACGCACGTCTCGGGAGTCAGCTGGCTGGAATGCGCAACACATGACATAGCCATCGGAGCCTGGTGCGTGACATAACGGTGCTGAGCAGTTCATTCGCTCTTCCTGCACAAAATATGTGACGTCGAACACGCTCATTCCACACGCGGTGCTCTCACAATATAAGAATTAAGCAGCGAAGGCACCGATGGTAGTCTCTTTATGTCTGTCGACTTGATGGGCCAGGTTTCGCAACCGTACAGTAGGGTTGAACGGACAGCTACATTGTAAACTCTGTCCTTCAGAGCGATAGTGATCTCACGCCGGCGCCACAGATGGCGGAGATTGGCAAAAGCGTTTCAAGCTTTCGCCATGAGTTTTGTGATCTCATCTTCCATTCCACTGTCGCTTATAAAGCTGTCTAGATACTTGCATTTCTCGACGATTTCAAGCTGATCACTACCAAAGGGTCAGCACAGGAATGGGTCCCAGCTAATCGTCAAGAAGCACTTTGCATTTCGAGGGTGCTAAACATAGCCCGAAACGACTGACAGCTAGTGCTACATGGCAGGTTGGAAAGCTGTCACAGATAAGAGCGATGTCGTCGCCGTACTCTAAGTAAAGAAGTCGGTCACCTTGCAAGTCGAGTCCAGTGATCGCAGTTTCCATGATCTCGTCGATGGAAAAAGTTAAAAAGAAAAGATGACAGCAGGCATTCTTGTCTCATACCGGTGGAAATATTGAAGGGAGGAGACAGTTTGCCATAAGCCCTCACTATGCGAATAAAATACACTGATAATGTTTATGTATTTTCAGCCACAGCAGTACTAAGTAGACAGTCCCAAAAAGCAAACTGATCAACCGAATCGAAGGCACCTTTGATGTCCAGGAACACAACTACCGTGGCTCGCCGATAAATATGGCGGTGCTCCAACAATTGACCTAAGACGAAGATGTGACCAATACATCCGCGACTAAGACGAATCCTGGCTTATTTCTCGCGTATCTGGTTTTCCGGTGTGCCAGCAAATCTATGAAGAACCACAGAAGCGAATATCTTGGAGGCAATAAGGATCATACTGATCCCTCTACGATTGCCCCCTTGAAAATCGGGACTATTATGGGGTGGCTCTAATCTGCTGGGACAGTTTCCTGCTCCAACAGCTTCACAAGTAAGTTGTGCAGATCATCTACAGAAGCAGGTCCCCTGAATATGAAGAGAGCTGGAGGGATACTATCCGCTCCTGCGGCCTTATTTACTTTCAACAGTCTGAACTCACGTGTGACATCTGCGCGTGAAGGCGGGTTCATAAAGACAGTCTATGGAAAAGGACGATGAATGACCGAAGGAGAAGCTGATAACACTAGATGATTAGGCTGTTTTTCAAGGTGTTCGGCCAAACGCTCCAAGCGTTTTGACTAACTGTGGACCTTTCGTCCATCCACATCACGTATGGCTTCGCTAACACAAAGACTTCTTCAGCCCGTTTCGCGTATCAAACGGAATAAGTTCTGATGGTTACCAACAGCAACGGCCATTTCCATCTCCGATGCACGACGAGACCACTCTTCTTCCCGATCTCTCTTCAGGCTAGCACGCAGTTTCGACCTGGGGTCTTTGCGAGTCTCGTTGTGTTCGCTTCCAGCCGGAATGTGTCGGCGAGCATCCAGAAGTTCCAGAGACTGCAGCATAGAGACCCAATGTTCAGTTTGACAACTTGATTTACCACATGAAGACATGCCCTCTGCTAATAACGTCAGGTGAGCAAGCGACCAGTGGCTCTCTACAGTGTTCAGAGAGCGTTTACTCAGCCCGGATGCCAGCGTACTTTGATACGCATTCGGGACATCTGGCTTTGCCAGCTGGCATGCAGCTATGCACTCAGAGCGACGCTACATGCGCCCAAAGAATCGAACTGTAAGAACGGCACAAACAAGTGTGTGGTCAGAGTCCACGCACGTGCTACAAATTGAGCGACAGTTTTGGTCACTGATCGCGATGTGGTCGATTAGCATCCATGGCTGTTTTGACGCGGGTGGGCGGCATGTCACCCTTCTGCAGGTGATGTATCGGAAGTTAGTGCTCGCGAGAAGCAGACGACTATCTTCACATAGGTATAGCAACCGCTCACTGTTACCTTTACGGGAGCCTACACCGTGTTGGCCATCCAGATAAGGCTCATCAGTGGATAGTTTTCCAACAGTGAAACAATGGTTTTATAAGGGCAAAAAAGCTAAGGCTTCACGGGCACCGTAAGATGGTCATGGTGAAAGTTCAAAATATAGAAGAATTGTTAGCAAAATTTGGTTTACACCAATGGAGTCACTGCAATACACGTAGTACAGACTATTAATCCAATGTAATCCATAAGGAGTGACG